AGATTGTTTCCTCATATTTGGGAAGTTTTCTGCTATTACTTCTGCCCATATTTTTTTAATGTCATTTATATTGACTCCTTCTTTCTCATTGATACGTATTAGTCTTACATTGTTTATCTTTGTATCATCTTGCAAATGATGAATTATTTTTTCCTGCATTGTAGTTGTTTTTAAGAGATGTTTTCTTACCTTTTCTCTAGCTGCACCAGCATCTTCAAGATCTGAAACTGTCTTCACTCTTACTCAAACGTTTTTGCAAGTTTGTGATTGAGATTTTAAGTTCCTCTATATCTTTTTCTCTGCTTCATGCGATCTATTTCTTTCCTGTATTGCTCATTCAAGGAATCTGTCATTTTTCCAATCTCTATTTTTTTCATCAATGTCTTCTTTAGAGGCCGTTATTAAATATTTTACTACAGAGTTTTTTTCAGATTGGGTTTCCTCTCTATGTTTCTGTATTTGATTCTTCAGATGCTATGAGTTCAGTGAATTCTTTTTTTAGTACAGAAAATAATTCTGCTGAGTTCCTCTAGAACTTTCTGCTGTTGCTTATTTACTATTGACACTATTAATGCATATATTTGAGCTGAGCTAGTAGAAAAGAATTCCACTCTGAGTTCTTCTAGAACTTTCTGCTGTTGCTTATTTACTATCAACACTATTAATTCATACATTTGAGCTGAGCTAGTGTCCTCTGTGCTTGTTCTGTGTGGGCACTGGGTTTCCTCCATATGTTTCTGCATTTGATTCTTTACTGCACATGCTATTAGGAATTTCTTTTTTCATTTTCAATCTGAGTTCCTCTATAACTTTCTGCAGTTGTTTCTTTACTTCAGAAGCTGTTGATTCATTGATTTAAGTTGTGTGATTCCCAATTTGTTCTGTATTAGTGTCCTCTGCACTTGTTATGGATGGGCTTGGGGTCTGAGATTGCATTTTGCTCCTTCTCGTTGTCATCTTGTATAGCACTGTCTTCTGACCTTTGTTGTAGAGCTTTGGTGCAGTTATAACCTTGCCACCTACTGAAATTCAGGTGCAGATCTACAAAGTTTGAATTTATCCAGCTGTGCCTGGCTTGGGTTTGGCTGCTTTGCTCAGCTCCTTCTTGCTGCCGCCCTTGGGAATGAACCTGTTGTGCCCCTCTGGCAAGATGTTCTGCTCTTGGACTAGCTCAGTGGTTCTGTCCCCTGCTCTCTCTGCAAGGACTGCAGCTGCAGAGTTTCACTCCAGACCTCTATGCCAGGCCTGAGCTGCGTCTGAAGGGGACCAGGTGGAGTAGCGGGGAGACAAAGCTCTCCTACACACTCACTGGGCCTGGGTTAGGGCTGGATCTGGGGTTCCCGAGAACACGGCAGAAGTTCTCACTCACTGGGTGGGAGTTGGGGGGACTGCGGAATGGTGGTGGGGAGGTCCCAAGGGTGTGGAATAGGGTCTCACCCACGCTGTACCTGGGCTTGGACCTGACAGGTCCCAATGGTGCAGGGTAACTGGAAGCTCTCCTACACACTCAACGGGCCTGGGCTAGGACTGGATCTGGTGGTCCTGAGAACGTGGCAGAAGTTCTCACTCACTGGGCGGAAGTGGGGGGGACTGCGGAGTGGTGGGGGGTCCCAAGGGGGTGGAAGAGGGTCTTACGGTGCGCCTTGGCTTGGACCTGACCGGTCCCACTGGCGCAAGGTAGCTGGAAGCTCTCCCACACACTCACCGGGCCTGAGCGAGGGCTGGATCTGGGGGTCCCGAGAGCGTGGCAGAAGTTATCCCCAGCCCTGGATTATAGGCCTTCCCATGCCTGGTGTGGGGGCTAGCACAGCATATGGCACCGGGGATTGAACTCGAGGCCTTGTGCTTGCCAGGCAGGTGCTTAAACTGCTGCCCTATCTCCCCAGCCCCTAAAAAAAAACCTTAACATTTTTATATTTGAAGTTTTATTTCTATCATCAAAATGTTAATGGATTTCACAACTTTGAATGGTATATTTTACCAACAAGAACTTTTGTTTAAAAATAACAGCAGATGAAGCTTGTTTCCAGTGACATACATTCCGCTGAGGACTCGGACTTCCCTTTGATGGTTGGAGTGGCATCTTGCCTAGAGGCTGGCAGATGGAGTGGGTGACCTTTGGGGATTATCTCTCCTCAGATTTATATCCAAAATAACTTGGATGTCATTTAATCATGTTTTTCCACTATTTTACATATAAAGGGTCTTATAGTCACTTTAAAAATTAAAAAAAATAATAAAACAGGCCTTGGGGAAGTAAATTCAGACATAAAGAGAAAATGTGGGTTGAAGGAAAGGCGCTTGGGATGTGGGGTGGGGAAGTAGGTGAGTCAGGCTTCTGTAGCTGACCAGGCTGGGGGTGTAACTCAATGGAGAGTCTTGCCTAGCCCTTGCTCTGATCTCAGCACTTTAGGGTTGGGGGAAGAGGGACCTCTCCTTTGAGAGTAACAGATTTGAGGTGAAAAGTCAGTGGTTAGATCTGGTATTTCTATACACTCAATTCCACAAGCTAACTAACCTAATCTGGTTGCAGACAGCTGCTATATTTATAGTGTTTCTTTTCTCTGACTTTTTCATTTGTTGAGTTGGAAATTCCTGGTAACTCTTTGACTTTTCACTTTCAGTACTCTGTAAAGTTACAGAAAAAAAAGAGAAACAAAACAAGCTTTGCTTTTTGACAAATAGTAAGTTTCTAGAGTCATAATTTTAGAGTCAGCTTGGGTACCCAAGTATTTCAACCCAAGCAAATCAAGTCTGAGGACAGGGTGTAGCCATTCATTCAGTGCTAGGAGGTTTCGTGAAGCACCTGTTATAAGTGAGGAAAAGTAGGCTCTGTGTCTAAGATCTTAGTTTTGTTGGGGGAAGTGTCTGTCCACATGGAATGATTAAATATTGCAGCAAGGTAGGACATGTGATCCGCCAACATAAGGTGTGTGGGCCTCCGTTAGTAGAAGGGAAGGGGCATGCAGGGGTTCAGGCCCAGGGCCTTGCCCTGCTGCGCCGTGCTCCAGCACTGAGCTCGTCCCCTCAACCCTGAAAGTGAAAAGCCCTTTTGCCACAGCTGGAGGAAACCACAGAGATCAACTCAAGGAGACCGTGGATCTCATGCAGTCGTGCCCTGGATTGCTAAGACTGGGAAGTGAGCTAATTGTTTAGAAGAGCTATTTTTAGTTGATTGAATTATGCCTCATTCACTGACCAAGCATGTCATGCGGTGATGAAAAGCAGGGAGAGCCGTGTGTTAGAACAGCAGTTCAGTTACTTTGTTTCAAATAATTACATGCATATCTTGATCTGTAATCCAGAGATGGTTGTGTTTATGCTTTCACTCCACTGACCTGGTACATTTTCCTTTTTAGATCCAAAGGGGTGATTCTGAATATCTCCTCTGCCAGTGGCATGTCCCCAGTTCCGCTCTTGACCATCTATTCTTCAACCAAGGTGAACACCATTTTCATAAATTACATCAATATAAGAGAAAGGAATTGTTTTTACTCTGTACAGTTAACATGAATTTAAGTCTCTCCAATTTCATTTAAGAACAAAGTTCCCTTCCTAAGGAGGGAAGGAAAATGCCCAACAGCTGGGGATGTACAGATAGGGGTAGACTTCTGAGGGGACACCAGGGTATCAGAGCTACTGATGCCTGTTTTTCTCCTAATCATTTACTGATTTAAAGTACTATTTGTGCTTTCCCTAGAAAGCAGGCCTAGGCCAGTTAGCTTAGTGGGTGAGAACATGGTGCTAACCTAAGATTGGAGATTTCATATAATGAGTGAGTCAGGGTCATACAGCGTAGGAGAAATACATCCAGTCAGTGCATAGATGTACACAGTAGGCACAAGACAGAAGGATGAGAGTGTGACTTTTGCCACATTGTCCAACATTCATGAATATCTGTTGCCACTTCTAAGGTGTCACAGGAATTTTTCAGAACTCTGTAAAACGTCATTATTTCATATATCACCATTTACTTCCTCACATTATTACAAGAATAATAATTTAGAATGCATCTCTCCCTGCCTGCAGGTCAATAGCATCACCTTCAGATACATCACTAAAGCTTGGAATAGATTTCTGAAGGGAAAAATGTCATTTAGACATTGAAATTAAGCAAGCTTTTAGGAGAAAATAAGCACACTTAATAAATAATATGAATTCACAATATGTCATGGAGGAAAAGAGCAAAAGACTTGACTTTTTTTTTACTTGAAAAAACCTCAGTCCTTGTGATCTTTTGCAAAAGCTCAGCATAACCTCTCAACCCCTGTAGCCAGCTTGCTGCCTGGGTCCCCGGAGCCTGGCGTGCTGTCACTGATGCCACCTGTGCACCAGGGACACAGACTTGCACTCCCCGGGATGTGGGTGCCCTCCTTGGTGCACAGCGTAGCAAGCCTGAGGTTGAGTCCACATGTAAGAAGGGGCAGATGCCACTGAGTGTCACTTAGATAGATCTCACTGTGCAGCAGCAGCAGCAGCAGCAGACGGCTCCCACATCGTCTCTACGCTTACTGGATTTTGCACCATCGTCTTTTCACAACAAAATCCCCCTAGAACATAGACGAACACAATTCTGTTTCTGCTTGAATGGCAAGTAAAGGGTAGACGTACATCTTTCCTCCTTGTGTAATATAAAAATACTTCTTGGAAAGTAATTTTCTGGGGGAAGAAAAGGATAAGGAGAGCCTTTTCCAGTCCTATCAGAATTTGGGGTGTGCGTTATCTTTGGCTAAGATAATACTTCAGGTAGTGGCAGATAAAAACCCTTTGAGGTTTTGAGGTGTTTTTAAAATGTTTCTTCTGCATTTGGAATGATTAAAAGAAGGCTGAGTAGCAGTAGTGCTAAGTGGTTAATTGTTTTTTGTTTCCATGGATAGAATGCGTATAATGATGTAATGCATGTTTCTTCTCACTCCCGACACCCTCTCAGGCTTTTGTGGATTTTTTCTCTCGGTGCCTCCATGAGGAGTACAAGAGCAAGGGCATCTTTGTGCAGGTGAGTGGAGTTTGCTCTCCTTTTAGTATTCCTGTTTTTGTGTGGTTGCCACAGCAACCGTTGCTGTCTTGGCAACGAAAGAAAATCACATTCCTCAGTAAGTGAACGTGACGTTGCACACCATTAAAGATGTGGATTCTTTTTCCCTTATGCACTTAGTCAAGATTTTTAAAAATCATACCACAGAATTTTTAGCTGAGGGTCCCTCAGGTAGAACTAAATGCAGAGTCAGCAATTGAAGCATAATTATTATAGGCTTGAGAGACTGAGATTATTGATATCTCTTTTAAATTGTGGTTAAAAAATATATCATAATTTTACCCATTTAATCATTTTTAAACAGGTAGTGAGTGGCATTAAATGCATTTACATCGTGTGATCACTGCCCCATCCATCTCCAGAACTTTCTTCATCTTCCAGAACAGCAGACCCACTAAACACTCGCTGCCCCTTCCCCCATCCCTCTGCCATTGGCAACCACAACTCTACTTTTTGTCCCTGAATTTGTCTGTTCCTGGTACTCCTTAGGAAGGAATCACACAGTATTTGATCTTCTGTGGTCAAATCACTTACTGTCTTAGGCTCACGTCACTTAGTCCAGTGTCTTGAAGGTCCATCCATCTTGAAGCATGTGTTAGAATTCCCTCCAGAGGCTGAGTATTGCTTCCCACGGTTTGTATGATACCACTCTCTTTTTAGCCACTCTTTCATTGATGGGCACTCATGTTGCTTCCACTTTTTGGCTGTTGTGAATGATGTTGAAGTAGACAGGGGGCACAAATACTGTTTTGATACCTTATGGATATGTATGCAAAAGTGAAATCGCTGGATCATATGGTAATTCCATAAGTTTTCTTAAATGTTTTTGCAGAACTCTAAGACTGTTGTCCTTGTCTGATGTGCCATTTTACATTCTACCAGTAGCTGACAAAGAGTTCCAATTTCTTTACCTCCTCACAAATGTTTGCTGTATTCTGGATTTTGTTTATATATAGGTGGGTGTGAAGTGCTGTCTCGTGGTTTTGCCCATTTGGGTTCCCTTTTGGGGTAATTCTTGGCCATTTGCACATCCTCTTTAGAGAAATCTCTATTCAAATCCTTAGTTGGGCTTTTTGTTGAATTTTAGAAGTTCTTTTTTTTTCCTTTTTGTATTGAGTGCAGAGTCTGCCAGGTCTCATGATGTAGATCAGACTCATAGTGATCTTCACGTTGTCAGCCTCCCAGTCACCATCTCAGTGTACCCCGGGGGCGGGGCCAGCATCACATGCAGGAGTTCTTGTTGGGTTTTTTTTTTTTTTTTTGAGTTCTTGATTAATTTGGATGCTTATAAATATTTACTTTCCCTGAGTAGCCTTTCACTCTCTTGATAGTGCTTTTTAGTGCACACATGTTGATGTCTTTTTAGTTTTGATAATAGTCCAAGTTATCTACTTTTCCTCTGCTTTCTGATACTTTGAATGTGGTAGCCAAGAAATCCTATTTATTTACTTACTTGCTTATTTATCGTTTTGAGCCAGTTTCACTATGCAGCTTGGGCTGGCCTTAAACTAACTTTTTAGCCCAGGCCGGTCTTAAACTCTCAGTAATCCTCCTGCCTCAGTCTCTTGGGTGCTCAGATTATACACACCTGGCTTCATCTTTTTTAAAGTTGCTGAAATTGAACTTTTACAAGGTTAAGTGATTCACGCGTCTGAGCCAAGGTTCAGATCCAGGTGTGGTAAGCCCCAAAGCCCCTCTGAACCATCGAGCTACTTACTGCAGGCCTGCAGGGTAGCACTGGCCACTTACGCAGTTCCGCCTGTGCTTAGGAATTGATAGGACCAGAGGTGCTTGACTGCTTCAGCCAGCTCATCCTTTGCTACTCATAGGTAATCAGGGCCTCACTGTTAGCTAGCTCTGGCACTGAGTCTTTTTAATTATCCATCGAAGGCCGGCGAGATAGCTCAGCAGACTAAGCACCTGCTTAGGCAAGTGCACAGACCGGGGTTCAATCACTGGCACCACATGCTGTGCTGAGCTGGCCACTGAAACTGGGTGTGGTTGTGCATGCCTGTAATCTCAGCGCTGGGGAGGCTGATAACAGGAGGATCACTACAAGGCTGAGCTGTGTAGTGAGACCCTGAACCAAATACATTAAAAAATAATAATAATAATAAAAATTTACCCTTTGAGAGAGTGATACAGCAGCAAAGGCAGGACAACCATTTCCTCACCTTCCTGGGACCACCAGGAGGCCGCACCTGAGCTTTTGCCTAAGGCATGCCCAGATGTCACAGCTCTCTGGCATTAGTTTGGTTTGCAGTTTCTCATATAAACAGGGTGCATGGGAAAGACAGGATTTTCTAGAATCCAAGAGTTCAGTACCGAGCCACTGTGCCCTTGTTGCCCCACGTTCCTTAACAGCTTGGTAACACTGGTAATAAGTGCGATGCAGGCAGAGATGTGGTAACTGCACCCGGCGCAGCGTTCCTGGGAGGTAAGGCATCACCTGCCAACAGCGCACCCTCTCCCTGCTGCTCAGTCTATTATAATCAAGCTCTCAGTTGGATAATTCTCCCACACTCGCTGAGAGCAGCAAGAATCCGAGTGACCCACTGGTGGTGGCCTGTAGGAGGGACCAGAAGCTGCAAGTGTTTTAGTACCACCTGGCAGTGTTAGGCCCGTGAGCCCAAGACAGCGATTCCTACGCTTCTGTGACTAGCCGGGACAGCCCACTCTCATTTTCACAGCCTGCTTCCCACGGAGTTGTGTGTCTTCTGACTCTGCGCCCGCTAATGTGATGTGCCTGGAAATGCTTAGAAAGGCCCATCAGTATGTCTCTGGAGTGTTTTACTTTGGTAAACTTCAGCTTTCTCCTAATAGAGCCTCTCAGTTGTGTCATCTCATCAGTCATTGTCTTTCCTCATATGGAATCATTTGAGGTTTACACTTGGAGTGAATTTGATGAAAAAAATAAAATTCATCAGTGAAGACACTTGCCATACATAAGTGAGTGCATATCAGGGTGCTGGAGTAAAGTAGAAAGAGAACTCTGCATTCTTTCTAATCAAAGAGGCAGGGGAAAAAAAAAGAAAAGAACCCTGCTCTAAATGAAGCACACTTAAAAATTGCTTTTTCTGTGGTGGTGCTTTGTGTCTCCAAATTTGGGGATCAGGAGTATGTATCAGCCAACTCTGCCTTCCAGTCTGCTCTGCAAACTTTTCTGGGGTGGGCTTGCTGTCCTCCGTGGTCATCCAGCGGTTGCTGGAAAGTTCAGCACTGGGTTCCAGCTGCGCAGGGCCAGAGTGGCCTTCGCAGTGCCTGGTGCACTCTGCCCTTGATGCCTGGAGACCTTGCGTCCACTGCGTCCCCGCCTCTCCTCCCTGGGCGGCACCATGCTTGCTCCTGGAGCCCGCCCTCCGCACATACATCCGGGGCCCTCTGCCCTTCCTCAAGGCACCAGGCACAGCCTGCCCGCTGGGGGCACTGCCCCGGCCCCTTGGCACATTCGGAGTCTGTTGCGATCCCTTCTTGCTGCTCTCTGGGACTCCCTGCATCTCTGCCTGCCACTCTGGCCTTCCCTCTTTTCCAGCTCTAATCTGGAGAACAGGTTTGTGTCCTTGTCTCTGGGTGACTCATGGCAGCATTACCTGGACACCTGCTGTCCTGGCTTCTACACTTTGCCTCAACTTCTTTCCTATAATGAGAGCATTTAAAATTACCTTTGAGAAGTCACATTTGCCCTTATATAAATAATTCCTGGAAATGCAAGTAAACAGTAATAACAGCTTTTACAATGGTACACACCTGTAGTCTCAGCTGCTTGAGAGGCTGAGGCAGGAGAGTCTTGAACTCAAGAGTTTAGGGTAAGCCTGAGCAACATAGCAAGTCCCTGTCTCTTAAAAAAAAGAAGAATGATGATGAGGAGGAGGAGGAGGAGAAAGAGAAGAGAAGAGAAGAGAAGAGAAGAGAAGAGAAGAGAAGAGAAGAGAAGAGAAAAGAAAAACAGTAGCACCAACCAGTTATATAAATTCTCTGGAGCTGAATCATGGAGCTGATAGACTATTGAAGAAGAGGTCAGGTATACATTCTTGGGTAAACTTTATCAAAAGCTTTGTGCGCCTGCTAAGGATTCTCTGTTCTCTTCGTTATCTTATAATTAAAAATGAACCCAAACTTGCACTTAAAGCTTTCAGAGGGCAGAAGTGACAAGGGACCAGCATGGCCATGGAGTGGGCCCTGGCCCCCAACTCCTGTGTGTGTCGTGTTCTGACTGGCAGTTCATGGTGCACTAGTGTGGGGTAGCTGGGACCAAGGCTAAATCCTGGCACCCTGCCCTCGTACTTTTATTCCACAGAACCTTCACAAGCCCTCTTGCTTTTTAGAAAGTATTTTATTTAGAAATAATTTCTAGTCAATAAAAAAGTTATATTGCCCTTTGCCTGGAAAACACTTTATTTTTAGCATTAACTCCATTTGTCTTATTGGAGCTAAATTGCATACTGCCATGGTGGTTCTTTACCTCTAGTATATTTCTAAAAAAATAATTTTAAAAAAAGGATACTCTCACATATAACCACAGCATGGTTTACCAATTTTATGTTTAATTTTTCCTTGGTGGGGAGGGAGTACTGGGAATTGAACTCAGGGCCTCACACATGCTAGTCCCTAGTATTCTGCCACTGAGCTACATCTCCAGCCTGTTTTCTGTTTGGAGACAGAGTCTCACTGGATTATGTCATTAAGTTGCCCAGGCTGGGCTCAGCCTTCTGGAGGGCTGGGACTGTGGGCATGAGCCACTGCACACAGTTTTGATGTAATGTTTTAACCTACTATGGCATCTATGCTCCTTTTTTGCCCCTGTAATATTCTTTATAGTTAGCTAGCTAGCTAGCTTGCTTGCTTTATTTAGTTACCCAGTTATTTTGTGACCCTCGGGATCAAGCCAAAACTCACATGTGCTTGGTGAACACTCTTCTGCTGAGATAACAGCCTCAGCCCTTGTGATTCAGAGACGGGAT